TTGGCGGTAGTTGGTACGACGCTCAGGTTTCACCTGGCGAGTGATCTATTGTCAAAGGCCAGAGGTCACTGTGAGATGACATGTCAGCTGTCCCTATAGAAGGACGAGGAGCTTTACAACTCGCGTTGGAATCACGAAACCCGTGTCATCAAAGACAAAAATGTATACTGTGACCGTGTCTGGAACTAGGGCGTCCAGTCCTTCTGACAGGTTATTCGCGAGATGATCGCAGTTAGTCGTGAGACGATGGCTGTCGAGGTCCAATCGGAAGACTAGGCGTGTTATTTGGGGGCGATCCAAGGCTCAGCCTTCTAGTACATCTTCTGATGCAAGCCACGCTGGGTAGTATTTTTGGTACAAGACTCGGGACTAGTGGTGCCTCTAGGAATGCGGGAATGCGGGGATACGCAAGAGTAAAGACACAAGGGGCTAGGGGCGAGGAAGTATTGTTGGGAGCTGGTGTATGTGACGTTACATATATTGTACATGGCCTCGAGGATAGGGCAAGGCGGGTTGAATCTAGTCTGAAGATGGGCTGAGAAGGGAAGAAGGCAGGCTGCAGTCTGGCCATGTTGTCGGTGCTAAGGGGTTGTGCGTCATTGGCCGAGAAGCGAAAGACCAGCATGACATTCCCGCGGGGAGCATCGTCATCTCATACGAGCAAGTTGCTTGCACCTCGACACAATGGACATCACGCCCACCTTCAACCAGGTGCTTGCAAAGCACAATGCGCCGCCAATCAAGCCCTACGAGTTTCGAGTTGAAGCACTCGACGACTTTGTCAAAGAGGCATACCGCATTGTAGGCCACGTTGCGCGTCGCAGCAAGATGGGTCATGGTAGCTAACTGCAACAGCGAACTCACATAACCAAGCTGCACACCGACCTGAAATCGATACGGCAGAGCTATCTATCTACTGCGAATCCACCCCGCCGAAAACAGCTGGCACGAAGCAGTACTTGGTCGACCGCCGACAAGGACTCAAAGTACCTGAGCGATGCGCAGCGCAATGAGATTGACATGCAAGCGAAGCAGTCCATACGCCAACTCAACGATGCGATCAAGACACTGGGGGTTGCAGAGCAGGCACGACAGGCAGCTCAAAGCCAAGTCGCGCTGAGGAAGCGGGCGAAACAGGGCCTGGGTGCGCTGGGACGATGGGCAGCAGGCGGGGCAATCACAGCAAAGAGCCCAGAGGAGGAGATTGAAGAGGCCAAGGCAAACACGATCAAGGCGCATAGAGAGAGCATCATATGGTCGCTGCAGAAGCAGCTCGAGGAGTGTGGGCAGTTCCAGAGCAACATGATGGAGATTCGGCTCACGCGAGAGGTGGAGAAAAGCAAGAGCGTATTACACAAGACAAGGATGACAGCTCCGGTTATGGCCGACTACAGCGAGGCCAAAGGTGGGCAGGGTGCTGAGGCAGACTACCGAGGGACGGCATCGTACAACCCGGACGAAAAGAGCACGGTGATTGAGAATCAGCTGGATCCCGAGCAGCTTCAGCTGTTTGCGCAAGAGAACCAGGACATGCTTAAGCAGTACGAGGACCAGCTTGACAAGATCCGGTATGTGGCGGTGGTGTATGCGCGTGACTATGCATCTGCTAACGCCCACGCAGCGCAACGGAAAAATCACTCACCGAGATCTCTGAGCTACAGTCGACGCTGGCCAGCAATCTCAGCATGCAAGCAGCGCACATTGACCAGCTGGTCGAGGACTCGCTCAACACACAGGAAAACGTGGGGAGCGGCAACAAGGAGCTAAAGCGGGCGACGGAGCGGGGCAGCACGGCGCAAAAAGTGTTTTGGGCGACGAGTGTCTTTTGCGCGACGCTGGTGCTGTGGGACTTGTTTGTGTAAGAGGATAATAGGAGCAGTATGAGGTAGTAGTTGTATGAAGTAGCAGATACCCAAGATGGCGAAGATAATGCCAGGCTCGGCGCATTAGAATCGGGCGCATGCTGAGTGGACCAGATTGCTACAAGAAGCAAGCAATGCCAGCCCTGTGGGGTCCCCCCCCCTCCCCCACAGCGGTTCATTCCTAGACTGCCCGCAAACCTGGACGGGAGCTTGTCACGACGTAATCCAGGAGCAGAGGCAGCGCATGTGCATGTGAGAAGGAAGGCCTGGGCGGGTACTCGGCTGCCATGGTGCTCGACATGTGCCTCGGCTTGCTCACACGACCCTGCATCAGATGAACCGAGCAAGAAACACAGCTGTATCGTGGTACATATATAGCGGCCTGCTGGGTGCAGTCAGGCCCTGCATTGCCTGGCGTTCTTCGTTCACGCTTCTGCATCTGCATCTGCATCTCGTCGCGCCGGCACCCCCGTGCTCCACTCTCCGCCCTCCGCATCTCCTCACCGGCCGGTCACTCCCCTCCCCCCAAATAGAATCCGCGGGGGCTAGCGTGGGTAGACGCGGCGTCCAGTTTCCCTTTACTCGGGCGGTGAAACGTAACCGGTGCGAGACGTGGTGCTCTTGGTTGGCACTCAGACGCCACAGCCATGCCAGCCTCATCTACTTCATCCCCAGCTCCCTCCTCAACCTCTCCCTCCAACACCATCACCACCCCTCAAACCCGCCTCTCCCAAATCTCCTCACACATTGACCCCATGGCTGCCACCGCTTTCGACGCCAATGTCGTCCCCCAGGCGCCTGAAGATCCCTTGTTTGGTCTGATGGCCGCCTTCCGTCGTGACGAGCACCCCAACAAGGTTGACCTGGGCATTGGCGCCTACAGAGATGACAATGCAAAGCCTTGGATCCTGCCCGTCGTCAAGATGGTGAGTCCACGTCGAGTGCGGGGTCGTTCACACCCCCCACATGCTACTATTAACTTTCTTTTCTACTATTACTCACACCATCTTACCAGGCCGAAGAGCGTCTCCGTACCGACCCCAACCTTAACCACGAATACCTGCCCATTGCCGGCTTACCCGAGTTCACAACAGCATCACAGAAGCTGGTTCTCGGTGGTGACAGCCCCGCCATCAAGGACAAGCGGGTAAGCTTCTCACGCCACTTTTCCATGGCCTGAGCTCACTCCACACAGGTCACCAGCCTCCAGACAATTTCCGGTACCGGAGCCGTCCACTTGGGTGCCCTCTTCCTCGCAAAATTCTACAAGCCCCAGACAGAGCGCACAGTCTACTTCTCCGACCCCACATGGGCCAACCACTTCCAAATCTTCTCCAATGTCGGCATCCAATACAAGACATACCCCTACTTCTCAAAGGATACAAAGGGCCTCGACTTTGATGGCATGATTTCTGCCATCCAGGGCGCGCCCGAGGGTAGCATCATCGTGCTACACGCATGTGCCCACAACCCTACGGGCGTTGACCCTACCCAAGATCAGTGGAAGAAGGTTGCCGACGTCATCAGGTCCAAGAAGCACTTTCCCTTCTTTGACACTGCCTACCAGGGCTTCGCATCTGGCGACCTTGCTACCGATGGCTGGGCCATCCGCTACTTTGTCGAGCAGGGCTTTGAGATGTGCGTTGCTCAGTCGTACGCAAAGAACTTTGGTTTGTACGGCGAGCGTGCTGGCTGCTTCCACTTCATCACCTCGCCTTCGTCCGACGCCCAGTCCACCATCACCCGCATTGCCTCGCAGCTTGCCATCCTCCAGCGCTCCGAGATTTCAAATCCTCCTGCATATGGCGCCCGCATCGCCTCGACGGTCCTCAACGACCCCACCCTCTTTGCCGAGTGGGAAGAGAACCTCCGCACAATGTCTGGCCGCATAAAGGAGATGCGCAAGGAGCTCCGCAGCAAACTCGAGCAAATGGGCACACCCGGCACCTGGAACCACATTACCGACCAGATTGGCATGTTCAGCTTTACCGGTTTGACCGAGAAGCAAGTGCTCAAGATCCGAGAGGACTCGCACGTCTACATGACCAAGAACGGCCGTATCTCCATGGCTGGTCTCAACTCACACAACATTGACTACTTTGCAAAGGCTGTAGACAAGGTCGTGCGTGAGACGCAGTAGATGTAGAGGGCTTGTACAACATTACCTGGTAGACAAGTCGTCATTGCAATACATGCATGACATGACTAATGACACTTGATGTGGGGACCTAAGACGCCTGCATCATTCCGATAGCATAAGATGGCGAATATAGACCAATTGTCATTTTAGCAAAAGTTTTGATCTTCTTCCATAACTGAACGAGATAAGAGCCCATTTTCACTTTGTGATGTGTGATTTTCGAGTAGTTATATAAATTGTGTCTGGTGAAAAGTTGGAGAAGGAGAAACTTGAGACTAGAATTACTCAATTTGTTTCAATTCATAAGGAAACATGCTAAGACAAGACAGGAATGGAAATCCATCCTAACCAATCTAGGTAGACTACCGAAATTCCAAAAACAAAAAGGGTATATAAGAAAAAGTCAAGCGAGTGACTCCCCCAACAACAACAACAACAAACAGATACGCTCCAAAACAGTAACTAACCCGAATATCGAAAAAAAAAGAGGGGGGAAACATCCAAACTACATATCCCCATCTTCCTCTCCCTTTCCTCCTCCTCCTCCTCCTCCTCCCCCCAACTTACCCATCCTACCAACCCCCAAACTCCAACTCTTTTCCCTCTTCTTCTCCTTTTCCTTCTTCTTCTCATCTCTCGCCTCTCTCGCGCTCCTACACCCCGCCTTAGCCTTAGCCTTGTTATCGCAATCCCCCGTACTTCTAAACCGCCTATGGCCACTCGCATGTTTGTTATCTTTGTGCACGGCATCCTGTGTAGCTGAGAGCGAGAATTTAGAGACGGGGGGTTGGATGGGGCGGTGGGTTGGGAGGGGGGGTGCGGAGGGGGAGCGGGTGTGGGTGTGGATGAAGGGGAGGGGGAGGAAGGGGAGGGGTTTTTGGGGTGATGGAGATGGGGAGGGGGGAGGTAAGGGTGGGGTGGGGTTGTAAGGAGGTAAGGGAGTAGTGGTGGTGTCTGGGATGGAAAGAAGGGTGGAGCCTTGGAGGGGGAGGTTAAGCATGGTGCTTGTGCTGCTGCTTCCGCTGGTGTTTGTGCTAGAGGGCGGGGAGAGGAAAGACGAAGTGGTGTCTTTGGTGGAAAAGTTTCCTACGCTACGGGCGCGGCGACGGTGGTTGCGTTGCGGAGGCGGGGGCTTGGATCTTGAGAGGTCGAGGGGCGAGCAGGAGCGTTCTTTTTGCTTGAGCCTGGGCTTTTGCGGCTTGAGCAGTGGCGTCATTGGGCGCAGGGCTGGGTGGAGGTCTGCGGTTATGGCTTCTGGGGGGGACCATGTTCTGTTTCGGAATGCGGGGTGCTCGGACAGTGAGGGGGGTTTGTGGCTTGCTTGGATGGAGACTATGGCTTGTTTGAATGAGAAGTCGGTTGTTCTTCGTCGAGGACTCTTTTCTGGGATCGTGGGGCTGTTGAACGCTATCTCGGGGATGGGGGTGGATAGAGATCGCATGTGTGGGTTGCTGTCTGGTTTGTGGAGCACGGCTGGTGGTAGTAAAAGTATTGGGATGTCGGTCGATTCTGATGCTGCATTCTTCTGCATCGGTGGCTGTGAATCAATACTCTCTCTTGCGCTTAGCCATTCAGGCGTTGCCGGGTCTGTTCTTATGCCTTCGTCCAGACTTGGCCTTTCTGAACCGAATATAGCTGGAATCCTCTCAAGCGCTTCACATAGTGCTTTTGGATCGAATTGCTTATTGCTCAAATGAATCGCTGTTCTAATTTGCCGCTCGGAAATCTTCTCGGACATTTCTCTCGAATGTGAGGCTTTGGATGACAGGGTGGATGTGTCCGAAAGTTCAGGTGCAAGGTCGCTATATGTAGGTCCAGGTGCAGCACCATCATCGATATGCTCTTCTGGTGATGGCTTCGCAAAGCAGTCCCGCCACGAGTTGCATGCAAGAGACTTGGTGCACGGCCAGAGTACTGCTGCCTGCATAAGATCGCACAGCTGAGGCTCGAAAGGTTGGATATCCCATTCTGCAACTTTCTTTGCTACCCATGGGTTCTGTGTGCATTGCAGCTTGGAAAAGTATGCGCTGCATGCTTGGACATTGGACATCGGGTGGCCATAGTCATGCAGGTCTTCCAGCACCGTTAAGAACTCCTTGTTGAAGTCGTCGAGGCTCTCGTGCTGATCCACCTGCAAGTTCAAAAAATGACAAAACGCGTGGTGGTAACCTTCAAACTCAAAGACGCTAAAACGATTGTCCAGTGCTTGTAACATTTGCAGTGCAGTGTACTGTGTGGGGGGAAGCGGAGGGCCGACACCAAATACATCCTGCATCACTTCTTCTGCTAGTGACTGGAATATGTCAAATTTGACCTCTCGGTCTCGTCGCATCCATTCTCGTCGTTCTTCCAGTAAACTTGGTTGTATATCGTTAGGTTCGGCTATGGCTGGTGTTGCCTTTGGCATCGGCATCGGCATCGGACGCCTGCCATTGCAGTATTTCCACCGATTTTTCGTTTCCAGAGCAAACCTGACACTGCGTCGCCAGCGCGAGTATTCAGGTCCAGTAGCATCTAGTGTGAGAATCCGAACGCCTAGGAGGCTTGGTGAAGTAAGAGGTTGCATTGGAGATGGGAAGTGTACATAATCCGAAGCAACATGCGACAGAACCAAAGCAAGTAATAAACAGTGGGAAAACGGGCCTTTAGGAGAGACATGCCAACAGCCGTTGCCACAGCATCGATCGTCACTCACTGACATGCCGCCATCGCAGGTACCACACCCGTAGCGGCCCCATTCCTCTGTCCCTAGTCCGGACTCTACGGAAGAAAAAGCCAAGCAGTCCGAGCATTCAGCCCCGCATCCACACCCCAAGCCTACGCTCTCAAACCTGGGGCCCCTTGCCTGTAAGCCTCGCAAAATGACGGTGTAGCGTTGCGTCACTTGCCATTTGCCCTGGATGTCGCACGCGGATTGGCGTGGACGACTGCCAGCACTGTTTCAACACTCGCAGCTTGCTTGAGCACCAACCCTGGTACTTACGTACATGCGTGCGGTCTGAGCGGGGTGATGGTCGGCTCAACACGAAGCTGACTGCACACAACCGATCATCGGATTCCGAGTGCATCGGCAAAGCACAGCTCTTCCTTTGGTTATCTTAGCTTTCGAATTCCGAGATGCGACCGTAAGCGTGTGCACTGCCGTACAGTTCACCGGTACGTATCTACAGTACATAAGCGTTGTTCAGCCTTTTGCATGCGCACAATTCATTCTGCGACATTTTTTGTTCTTTATCGCAATAGTTTCGAGTACAGACCTGAGAACGAATGCCATGAAGTATAGATATCGAGTCGTGGGGCTCACAGATCTTTCTAACCGAGTGTGGTACTACGACTGAGAACTAGCAGTAAGTAAGCACGAAGGATCCGAGGCGAGCTATAGTCACGTGGCCTGAATAGTAATAAGACCCTCTCTGAGAGAATTCTCACTCTCACTCTACAAATCTTTTATCCGCAAAAACCAACTGCTTAGTCAATATCTTATCGAGAGGCTGGGCCAGTGAGCACTACTTGTCCATTGGTGCGCAAACAGTATATATTATATTTTGTACAGAAATTTGTCATCGAAGTATTGAGTACGTTTCGAACACTAGGCGTTGTGGCGGAGTGGTTATCGCGCAAGACTAGAAATCTTGTTCCTTCGGGAGCGTCAGTTCGAATCTGGCCAACGTCGTCTTTTTTTGTCATATCATCATGCTGGTCTGACTGATATCCTTGTTCTTCGTTTTTGTTGGCGGAATCTAATTTTTGTTTATCTGCACATAAGTTGTACCCTATTAGCCTTGGCACTACGCTTCCCTCGTGGATACAACATAACACCACTCACATTCATGCCACCCCGAGCATTTCCGTTCCCGTTCAGAGTGGGCACAGACATTTGCAGTATCTCTAGGATACGCAACGTTATTACCAGGCGCAACGATGGCGATCCGCTGCGCCCGCTGCACCAATTCTTGAAGAGAGTTCTTACCAGCCATGAACAACAGTACTTTTGGCAGCGTTTTGCATCCGCAGACGACATTCTCACAAAAACCGATGCAGTTGCTGCATTCCTCGCAGGCCGGTGTGTATAAAAAGTTTCAAAAATATCATAACCAGAAGCTCACATAGCAAAAGATTTGCTGCAAAGGAAGCATGTCGCAAAGCATGCGACCATCTGGATAAAAACGCCAGAGGCTTTCAACAAATCATGATTCTCCCCGTTACTTCGCTGGATCGTAACGAACACCAATCGTCACGTCCGCAAGGCTTAATTCTTGATGAGGTCTATAAAACACGGGCGCTTTCAACTGATTCTACGGGTGCCAGTTTTGATGGCAAGGCGCAATCTTCCCTTCTCCTTGACGTGCATGAGTTGGAGGGACAGCTATGCGAGATCAGTATTAGTCACGATGAAGACTTCGCGACTGCGGTAGCTATCGTGCCTTCTATGAAAGGACACAGCAGCACATGGATTGGGGGAAAGTTGCCGTAGAACCTGGCTCAAAACATTTTCAGTATCAAAGTATAGCGTGTGGTGAATGGACTTGTCAACACATGCATAGACTAGAGGGGGCGAAGTTGTACGTATACTTAATGCAATGTCGATACCTTGGGATGATTCAATGTTGCTAGCCGCGCTTGTCTGCACCTCGCCAGTTTGCGACACACTTTTTTTGCTTTCCAATACCCTGATAGGATATAATAAGGCTAACATGCGAAAAAGGCAGGCGGATAAGAGTGACCTTGCTAAAATGTGGGTATATGCCAGGTACCTTTCGGTACTTAGTCCGGGCGGCTAAAATCTGGGTCCATCTTCATGTACACCCAATACATCTTGACTAGCATAAGTCATAAACCAGCACAATTCTCAACCCCACGCAGATAGACAACAAAAGCTACCTGGAATGAAATCTCATGGGAAACAACACCGGAGTACGTGTCGCAGTCTTGAATAGGCTGGGAAGAGACCATCACACTGGGCTAACCGACTGATTCGAGCGTCCTCGAATCTCATCAGCCTGCGGCTCGAAAACATGATCAAAGATAACGTGACTCTGCATTCGAGCTTCCTTTCAGTAGTCCACAGCGGACTCATAAACTCCAAGCCTTCGCTGTCCTGAGTGCGCCTTGCGATCAGGCTGCACGATCGCCATGTAGGCGTACCCTTTGCCGCTGGCTTGTCGGCGCGAACCGCTGCACGGTCGTCTGAACTTTCAGCCGGGCGCTTAGCCAGCCGTGCTATTGCACGGCGGCCATGAAACATGACCGCGTCCAGAACTTCGGGTACGTTTTTACTGAGTTTGACTCTTGGTAGTGGGGCTCTTGTTGCATTAGTTGCTGTGCCGCAATGTATACTATGGGGGGAAAGGACGCAGGTACAGTTAGGGACGGGAGCGTACAACTCAAATAGTATGCACATGCTCCCATATTGCGAGCATGGTACTACGGTACTGTCTCTTTCTTAGCTGTTTTTCTTTGCTTAAGGAGTTTCTTCGCAGGGCGAAGGTGCCGCGAAGACTATAATCATGGACCAATCTTTGGGAAGCCCCGTCTCTCCAGTTGAAGCAGGGCCTCTCAGCCCACCTCCACCTAATGATGTACCTCAAGAATCAGGTTTGCTACTCCATAGTTTTATATTGGTTAATTTTCTAACACCGCAAAGTACAACACAGCGATGTCCAAGAAACCAATTGGCTTCCATTCACCTTTAAATGGTATTTCTTGGTCGTACCCATTTCGGCCAGCTTGAGTCTTGGAATCGCTGTATCGCTGCTTGTCTGGTATTCGCAAAACCATTATGGTCTTGCTACTGATGATGGCTCTTCTGCCATACTATTTGGCTGGCGTTTCACACCTACCCTACTGGCTGTGTTGTACACTCAGCTAACAGTAATCCTTTTCGAAGACGCGAAGCGGACAGAACCTTTTACACGCTTGGCTCAAGCACCGCCCGGGGGTGTCAATGCCTTCGGAACGGTATTACAGACACCGAGGGCATGGTGGACCATCTTGTCCGATCTCTTTAAACGCAAGTCGATTGGTAAAACCAGCTGGTGTCTGATCTGCTGTACATTCATCAACATCATGGCTCTCTTCGCCATTTCTCCCTTATCTTCTGCTCTTCTTACATCTGCAGAAGTGGTCATCTCGAAACCAATAGAATTCAGCAGGATTGTACCGAGGGCTAACGCACAACTACCCATCGTTGCCAACAGAGAGACATATTTCAGGACGATGGCTGCTCTTATGAGAAATGTTTCCACTTCGGCCTGGATCTCGGACAAATCACTCACATTACCGTTCTGGCCTTCCATTGAGAGTGGCCAGCTTGGACCCGAGCTGGTATCCAGATACGATTCTTGGACAGCCGAAACAATAGCACTTCATACGGATCTGAACTGCCAGGACATGGCTTTGGAGAGTGATACTCTGGAACCCACACCATACAGTGCATACGACCGGATGCAACATGGTCCTTACAAAGGCATTGAACCCATGGTTCATTTTGTTCTAAAGTCGAATGATGCATGCACGTACAACATGTCTTTCCATCCTACTGCTGGCCAAATCAGTGCTGGGGGCTTAACATGGTCGAATACCTCTACCTTGTTTGTGCAAAGCAAGACATTACTGCTTCTTGGTAGGAAGCCATTCCCTGCCGAAGTCTCAAAGACAAGTCCGTATGCCAGGCATAGTGCATCCGATGAGTGCGCGAATCGCGATATTGTTATACTAAGCACACCTTGGGCGAAAGACGTACAATTCAATACCAGCTGGGGTCCCGGTATCGAGCATAACCGGACCTTTGAACGATCGCCTGAATTTCGCATGAAGGCGCTACTTTGTCAATCTCATTATTTCCAGGAAAGCCGCAACGTCTCCGCATTGATGACAACAGGGAGGCCACCAAACATTACCTCCACGCATGTCGACTCGGCCAACCGCACGTTGATACCAAAGGAACTCTTGGACATATCCAAATTCGAACGAACAATTTTACAAGATTCTTGGGCCGATTACTTCAACAGGGATAGCATGCAAACTGATGCGGCCCGCGGCCTGGATGACGTCCAGGGCCCATACGCTGATCCAAAAATAGTTAGGTCTGCGCCAGTTTTCACTGGAGTTGGCCCATTACTCGGTGCCATTTATTCTTTCAACATCACTCGGATGTTTGAAGACAAAGACTTCGGTGCCCAGGTTGCGAGGGTCAAAGGCCGGTTCTTTACCGAATGTCTTCGCGAGGCCCTCCGCGATCCGGCTGCAGTGGAAACCAATACTATCAGGGGTGAAACTACCTTGATAGAAGAGAGAGTCATGGTACTTAGGGAGATTGGCATAGCCTTGGCCGTTCTGTTCCTTGTATCTTCTCTGCTGTTGGCCCTTGTGTTTTGGGTTTCCCGGCTTACTTTTCGCCCGCTCAACCTCAGTACAGACCCTGGCAGTGCTATTGGGCATGCAATGCTCATTCGAAGTCAATCAGAGCAGGCTTCAATATTCAGGAAAAATCACAAAGCATCTCATAAGAAGCTTCAGGAAGTCTTGAAGCAGGACATGTTTTATATACAGGATGGAGAGATACGCGCGACTGAAAACCACGCCTCAAGTAGTACGAGTAAGTTGAACAAAATGAACTATCGAGCCTAGGAAAAAACTGACTTCGTGTTAAGCCACTGTTGCAACCTCTTACAAGCGACGGCACTGGCAGCCTTTAGTCTTGCGATTAAGCATGCTCTTTGCCCTCTTCTGCTTTCTCGTCTGCGTTCTGATAGCAGTAATGATACTCAACGCCTTCTCTATACGGTCCCGCCTTTCGCAGCAAGCTTTTATATACGAAGCCGACATCTCGAAGCTTGGCCTAAGCTTTTCTACTTTCGCCCCAATTTCGATCGCACCAACCGTTATCAGTGTAGTCATTGGACTGTGGTGGGACCAGCTAGACTCAACTTTCAGGATACTACAACCGTACATTTCAATGTCACGGCGGCCTACGCCGATCCGGAACGGAGCAGGTCTAACATATCGCTCCAAGACCTGGGCTGGGGCAGCCATCAAGGCCGCGCTAAATAGACATTGGATACTGTTCATGGTTGCTCTGGGTAGTGTTCTTTGCCAGATCCGTACGAAATCTCCTAGAAACCTTCTCTTCATTTGCTGATAATTGTACAACAGTCACCGTATCGATGTCAGCAGTCTTTGAGCGGCAATCTACAAACGTCATTCATCCGACCATATTTCAACGAACTCTAGAAGATAGAATGCTGCCAATCACGACTACTCACAGGGCCGCGGATGATCTTTGGTCAGGAACAAACCCAGGTAGACTTCCTTGGAAAGTACTCAACGAACTTCTCTTAGACCCACCGAAGAATTGGTTACCTGGAGCTACCATTCAGCTATCACTCAACGGAACAAAGCCTACCTGGACACACGATGGCTGGAGTTTCATCCCCATTGATATGTCTAAAGCCAGTGGATTAGCACCGGTCCAACCAAATCCCAAACAAGGCATTTCATATCCGAGCAATGTGACAATCACGACACAAGCTCTTCGAGCCAAGCTCGAATGTCAAAGAATACCGGAAATAGCAAACATTTCGACATGGCTCAATACGACAGATAACCTCCCATCGTCATATCAGGAAGAAGTAGACATACCAGGTTCAAAGGATGGCTATGTTCTTCCACCAACGATCTTTAATGATGGCCCCTCAAATACTTCCACTTTTGCAACCGGTAGTATGATTCGATGCTGTTCAAATACAACAACCAACGACACAGACACAGCCGTGATTGGATATTGGTCACCGGTCGAAGTCAAGAGATTCCCTTATGAGGATCGCCAGTGGCCGGTACCGTTTGTTACGAAATGGATTGTCGGAAAACCACGAGGAGGTGGTGAAGATGCTTTGGTTTTTGACGAAGTACCTGCTATGCAGGCCGCACGTTGTTTGCCAACCATCGAGGCAGCAGATGCCAGAGTAACAGTAGACAAGGATACGGGCACTGTTCATTCGTTTGAGATTCTGAATTCCGTTCGTCCGGCACAGGAAGCCTGGTCAGAGGTATTCGTACAACGCAATTTTACCGGCAGCTCGTCAAATCAGCACTTAAATGAAACATACAAAGGACCAGTGAACATGACCACGAGCTATGGAGTTCTGTTCATGGGGTCGATGTTCAAAGCTGCCAACGACAAAATCACACTCTGGGAGTACATCCAAGATAATGCCTTTGTCATGCGCGATATGGAAAGCGGTATGAACATGGACTTGATGAGTTACAGCATGTACAATCTCGTCAATAGAGATCCCAGTGCACTGTTAGACTACGACACGCTTGTTACATATGCTGGACGAACCTTCGAAACCTTCTTTCAGCATTTCGTTACCAATGGTCTATCTTTGGAAACCGGCGGATTAGCTTACCAGAAAATTGGCGACAACAGTATGCAAGAACTAGGCGCACCTATCACATGGAACGGTACAGCTCTTCCGCAACGCGAGTACGCCAACCAAAATACGAACCGCACAGCTGAAGGAGAAGTTTCTAGCCGCATTCAAATTCTTCATATGAATTCAGTGGCTACTTACCTCTCCGTTGCAATAGTCATTTGGCTCATCGGAACTACGATTGTGATAACCTGGCTACAACGGAAGTATACCAGTACTCTAATTCGCGATATCCAGCTCATCGCTGATGTCCTGGTGCTCGTCGCAGGTAGTGACAGCCTCCTGGAGCTACTTCAAGATCGAGGCTATGGGGTCAAGAAATCTGCAGACGTTAAAACCATGTTGGGTTGGTTCAGAGATAGGGACGGTGAAGTTCGGTGGGGTATTGAAGTGGTTGGTGGAAGAGCTCCGGTTGAATGGGTAGAAGCGCCGAAAGTAAGGAATGATAGCCCCGAAAAAGGGGTGTCTAGAAGACCGCTGCTTCCATGGAGAAGGAAGCAAACTACTTAGGCAGTGGGTCTTTTATGTAAACTGTTTTTAATGCTACAGAAGACTACTTCAGATGGCCTACTTTTCTGTGTTCGCAAGTTCGTAGTGAAGGTATCGCCCACCAGAACAGCAGCATATATGCGCACTTTGAATTGTATGTGCATCAACCTTGTACCAGGTGGAAATATTGCAATTTAAATGGTTGCACAGATTAAGGTCTGAAGATTAAAATTTCATTCTACGGTATTACTTAGACTATAGGGCCCAACCTCAATCTTTCTAGGATGATCTCCAAAGTTTGGCGATCACTATTAGCCTAGATACGCCGAGGTCAATCAGGTTCCAAGATGATGGTGAGCCTAGGCATTGGCATATATACAGGACTTGACAAGCACTCAACGGTATTGTAAAATATGCACATATCAGGTAAACCGTGTGAGCAAGGGAAGTGGAGACTGGGTCTATGACGACAGTTGTGGGGCATAACTATTGACTCCACAACTGCGATTTATAGAACTTTGGAATATTGAACTACTGCACGATGAGGCAATACGCCACCCGACTTCCATGCATACACGAAGCAGGTACAATGCTACGATGTGCGGTTCGACAATTGAATAACCATGGAGCGGGACGATTACCAATAAACTTCGGTACGCAATCTCACGGCCGGCTGAACATGTACATAACTTGAAAATGGCTCTGCAACACCCAGCCTCTACCACATCATTCAAAGCGCCTGGGGTTTATAGCTCATATTGGCAAAATTGCCTATCGGAACCTACACCAAATTAGACACTCGTGGAACGCAAACCAGAACGCACAAGTTTCCAGACCATGACAATCACACGTGAACTTGCGACTGTAAGGTACAAGTGGGGCTCTCAACCATTGTACAAACAAACGTGCTCGCATGGCCTGTATGTTGCTAGCGTAGCCAAGTCGCGGTCCATCCATGGCCGGCGCTGACGGGTTGGCAGTTGCCGGAAAAGTATTTGTGCATTTGTGCACAGTCTTTGAACTTTAAAGGCCATTGATTACAGAATCACTGCTCACCGAGCATGTTCGCTGATCATTAATGATCACAAGCAGATCCACTGCAAACAAGCACCATGGTCGCGATGATCAGTTTACGTGAGCTGGACCGTTCCGCATGCTCAACCGTTAGTGCAGTGAGTATGTATGTACAACCGTTCAGCATGTTGAGAGACGGAGTACGATGAGCATATGTAACAGGGGCAGTTACTTCAGGCAGTCAGGCATTGAGCTTGTTTCACAATCCGACCTCAAGATTCACGATTGATTGATTTTCGTAGTCCTCACGAGGTGTACACGCAACGTGTTTCGCAATTGCAGTCCAGGCGTCCGCCCATTACCGGCTGCGCCTTCTGATGACGAAAATACGATGAGGCAAATGGCGCTACGCAGGTTGAGTCTATTGCCACACATATGGTACATTGAATAGTATTATAGTAATAAGAGAATGTGCTCTGTAGATACATAGGAAATACACTAGACTGAAGGGTCTTCCAAGCAAGATGCTCGTCGACAATGAGAGAATAATTTAACATCCCTGGCGGGAGCGAATTGATGAAACAGATATATCCCACTAACCGGAGATGAATAGAGGCCAAAACCCCAAGATAAATATAGTGGTCATTACTTCATGAGAATTGAAATTAAAAGTGTGTTAGAGAACGTAGCTGCTGAGACACAGAATCTCCAGGTGGCGCACCCCTTGGAACTACAGCCTCAAGAGCGTGGATGATGTATGCAACCAAACCAAACGATCCCAAGCAATGACGGGGGACGCTTCGATAAAGAAATTACATAGTGAAAAATATATTGACCTGCGACGCTGTCTGCCTCTTTCATTACGGATGTTGAATTAACCTTTGTCTCCTGTCCTATTTGTCTTTCCTGCGCATGTGGCGAAACAGGTATCCTGAATTATAGACGTTTTAGAATGTCGTTGAATTAGCTACTAAGGATCCTGGTGTGGAAAAAGGTACTAGAGTACTTGGATTTATGCGTGGAAAACTTGGTGACGACGGCCGTGCTCGTGCCTCTTAGCATTGACATATGCGGTGACGTAGACGATTTCGGTCTTGACGAGACCGGGTCCGGACGGAGAAGGCGTAGGTGTGGGCGACGGAGTAACGGTGGAGCTCTCAGCGCTGGAAGTAGACGAAGGCGTCGCAGAAGACTCGGGTTGCTTCGAGGATGATGGCTGGGGCTTGGGCTTGGAATCGGAGTCCTTGCCGGGCGCTTGGCTACCACACAGGTAGAAGTCCGTGTTTCCGTTGGTTGTGCATGTCTTGGTCTGCTTGTCATCGGGAAGAACGTAGGACATTGTGTCGCAAGTAGCCGCGTCGTCACAGGCGAGAATAGGGCACCAGGTGTTGTCCGCGCCTGCCTTTTGTTTGCCAACTTGGTCACCAGCGACGAGGTAGTATCCATCTTTTCTGGCTGGGCAATCCATGCCTCCACAGTCTACGTAAGAAACGTCGAGGTAGTTTCCACCGAAGGAATCGGACTCGTCGATGAAGTACTCCAATTGCGTAATGTCGGTTCCCTTGCACTGCATCGACTTGGAAATCTTGATGGAAACACCAACGCCAGTCGAAGCTGATTTGAGGTAGTTCTCGGCATAAGTTTCACCGGTCTTGAGGACAACTGCCTCATCGTCTGGGCAGCCATCGCCCTTGAAGACAGACCAGAGGTAGACATCGTAATCGCAGCGGTTGATAATTCGGGCATAGGGTTGATCGAGATTGCATTCCTTGTTCAGCGATACGGCGCTCCTCGCGGAGGCGGTTGCGATAATGGCTGAAGCCGTCGAAAGGAAGGTAGTGAGCTGCATTATGGATTGATTGACTCGACCGGTGTATGGATGAACGGATAGATGCAGATTCTACAATAACGACCGAATGAATGTGTGCTGAACACCTAAAAGAGTGAAGTTATTCAGCGAATGAACGTGGGTAGGCAACGAGGTGCTAACGGCACGGTAAAGAAAGAGTTTCGGCCCTGGGGGGTGCATGAGTAAATACGTGGTGGCTAGGCCCACTATCAACATGACCCACGACGGAACCACTTGTCGCCATAGCGTGAGCTTGTTTAGACGGTGCCAAACGCGTGGCTAGTTCGGAGGACAAGCACGGAACAACACCCCATCCCAGGCGCATTTTGCCCAAGTAGGGCACGGGACGGCCCAATCGGACCTGAACCATGTAAGATCGTCAGGGCCCTTGGTATTGAACTTACGACCGTTCAACCACCTCCCATTGGATCAGCCACAAAGCAGATTCAATTAACGCAGGGATTTTGCCGATCGAGGTCATTCTCTGGCTGCACTTGCTGTAGAAATTTCCGGCGTGAACCATAGATACAGCAGCTTCGGCACGTCTTACTCGACAGACACAGACGCGCTGCTTCGTTAGCTAATCAAGGCTGTTGGGCGAGAGCTGCTCACAATGCATAAGGGTCGACCTCCAGCATTCAATTCAGTTGCTGTTCGAGGCATTTCCGAGATGAACCCACTTGGCACCCTCAGCCACTGCCCAAAGCGAATCATTCACCCGCACCGCGAAACTCGAAAAGGGGCTGCGCCAGGCTTGATCGGCCGTCCACACAGAGTCATGGGACGATAGCAAGGCGGTATGCGACGAGATACTGTTCATACGGCAGTTGTCAGGCTCCTGTCGGTGTGTCCATGTCCACAATCCTTGTTATAATACCGGTCCAGAACGTATAATAACAAGGCAGTCCATCGCAGAAGACGATTTAAGCCCCAGTTGTTGTCGCAATATTGCAGCAGACCCCATACTTTCCGCCACCAAGCCTCATCTCAATTCCCGCATTTAATTTCCCGCACACACCAACCCGAGACCATCCAAGACTATAGGCGCAATAGAAGGTTGATAGAATCGTAAATGATCAAAGTGCACAGTTCTTGCGCTTGGCGGCCAGAGTAGAAAAGGGACTGCCACGATAGCTTCAAGGAGAGGAGAGTGGCGTTGCGAAGCGCGCGACCGATGTGGTGATGCCTTCGGAAGCATCTCTGCGACGCGACTCGTTTACGGGCGTACTATCCATGTTCGGCTGTTGCAGGCGGACTTTTCAATAAGCTATGTTATTGCATAGTTTAATTCGTTTCTGCCAGGATAATCGAGGGAGTTTCGATGCTACAGAGTGCTTAAGTATATGTGTACTATGTGCAGCCAGTCACGTTCAATGGTCACGTGACTGTTACTAGTCATACTCTTCACGATTCGACTACCTTTGAGCAGCCGCCTGTGCCAAGTTCACACACGACCGCCTTCCTATATCTTTCCCTTGCAAATCTTCTTTCGGCTTGTTCTTACACGAAGATTCTAACACCTGTGTCGTCTAGTCCTATGGAACCGTATTTGTGCATGGCATAATTCTTGAGCACAATGGTATCCCTCTAGGTTACGAGTTGCTGGTTGTCAGGGGCTCTACGTCCACTAGTGCTAACACCATTCAGCTCTAGGCAAGTGGAACTTTGCCCGAAGAGAGGTGATCTTTGAGTCGAGTATCCGGGGCACGGCAATGCTATCTATGGCTCAATCCAAATAAAGATTAAGCAGCGTATTCTAATATTACAGCGGAAGCACAACGTCTTTCACGGCGCTGGTTCAAGAAGCAAAGCTATGCTGAGACCTACACAACGACACTATAGTACAGTATAGACCAAGCTAGTGGCTTCCTTCTGTCAAAACGCCTTCCACGGTCGCTCAAGCGACACATTGCGATAGCCTCGAACACCGGTGTAATTTCGACACTATTATCGAGTAACTCGACCTCTTGATTCATCCCAGTAAAGCCAACATGGAGAACATCAGATCTTTAGAGTACACCCAGGAGGTCGCAAGGCTGCCTTTTGTATCGTCGATAAAGTATGGAGAAAACACAACGACGATCCTCCTATGGCAACCAGAACTAAACTCCACTCCTGAGCGAACACATTGTTGAATACTTGTGCACATCTAGAAGCATATCCTCTGGAACATGACAGAATCGAGAACTGATGTCAACCGCCTGAAACAAGCTAAGGGAAGCACGAGCCTATCGTTGCGTATATCTTGTGGCTCATCGTGGCTCAGGCAACCAACATTACTCGTATGAGAAGCAAGTTCTGGAATAGAAAGAATCAAGGTTCCTTCTCCACGTTGTGGCGTTGACGGGAACTCACGGCTTTCTGACGTTCAGGGGTAGTGTTCTTGTTCTGTCTTGTGCAGATGTCATTCAAAAACTTTATCCGCTATTGAGTATCTTGCCGTCCCTTCACATGTGGTTGACAGGTTACGCAGAACAGACTGACGTCAACTTGAACAGATTGTGATCAACTCGTGAGTAATCAAATTGTCTGAAAGCGTCCTACAGACCTACTCACAGCGATATGGCTCTTTCTTCAGCGTATGCCTACCGGTCATATTAATACGAGATGAGCTTGTCACCTGCTCGTTTTCCTACCAGAAAGATCCGCTACAGGATTTTGTGTGGGTTGGACATATCATGCTTAGCTCGTCGTAGTGGGGTGTCACAGATGAAGCACAACAGACAATAGCCGCCGAATCCGCTCCCAACAAGTACCAAACAATCATTCCGCCCGTCCGCCCGTCGTAACGCCCTACCCGCCAGATTGCTGACGCGTCTCTCTTCCTCATTCTGGTGACCCCCGATATCAACTTTTAGTCTCCAGATGCTTAATGCACCTCAAGCACGCGACCATACCATGAATATTCGGGCGTAATTATGCCGCTCGACTACAAAAGCAATTTTCAAAGTAGATCAAGACGAATGCCTTCCAATAGCGGTATAGTCGAACAATAAACTTTCAAGGTAAAGACATTGGTTCAAGGCCACCAGTCTCAGGTAGAGGACACTGGCATGAGATAAGAGATGAATTGTAAATCCAGCATGTCACACTCAAAGATTTTTTTGATTCGAAATCTGAGAGATGAACCATGACGAGGCTGTAGGAATCAAGTGCTTGCATACATGGTTTTGGTGGCGCGAGCCAGACTTCCTGCAAGCACGCGATCTTCAATCCCACATATCGGTTGGGGAACTATTCGAGACTAACTAGAAAGAGGACCCCATTGCAGGATTTATCTCCACCTCGACTGTTCCCTTGAAGAGCTTACGTCGCCAGAAGAGAAGAATGAGGATCTCCGTCTACGATGTCGTTGTGAGTCAACGCTAGCAAAGCTCCATACACACGAGCCGTCATATGAGATAATCTACAAAAGTTGTTGACTCGAGGGCTGTTACCGCGCTTACCGACCCACCATATCTAGCCTCTGCTACTTGCTTGTACCATCCACAAGGTCGCATGGTTGGCCCGACAGAGCGGCTCCAGGTACGTGGCGGCGCATTAAACGGTACAAATACGCGCCACTGCATGTAGACAAGCAGACGCTCACTGGCCAACAACGACCAGTAATGTTGAAAATGCGACCGACGCTACTTTAAAAATCGATAAACGAGGTTGGGCCGCGACCACCAAAAAAAATCTAGGAACTTCGGCGTATATACAAGAGGGGCTTATGCCTTTTGTTGGCCGCGGAGTCGCATGATTAGAAGATAGATGTTAGTGCGGCATGATTGAGAAGGACGAGAAAACAAAAATCCCAAAGGGGCATGCATATGCGTAGAGGGACCCATGCAAGACGTGTGATGCAAGTTTGCCCTGGCTCGACTAAAGCACGAACCCTCGCCCCCTCTCCAACGTCACTCTTTTTGAACAAACCATTAAAGTTCCCACAAAGTATACCTTGTAACTTTGTTTTTTTTTCCCTGACCCATCCTACCACGTGTGGGTACATCCTAGCAGAACTCAAGTTTGGCTGGGTGACGCGCGCGAGGAAAAGGCAATCGACATGGGGGTTCTTTTTTATTTCATTAGTACTATCCCATGTGCGCGTTTTCCTATGCACGCAATTGCATGTCACATTGCATTATGCTCCACCTTGCATGGGCCCAATACCACCGCTTTTTAGTAAACATTTTCAGTCCAGAACTCGGGCAAGAAAGCGACAGGTTGACCCGATCTCTTTTTTTTTGTTATATATTTCTAAACGACCGCTTCGGCGATCCTACAGGAAAAAATATGTATATATATGCTGGACGGGTGGGTCATGTTTTCGCAAATGGGGTTACAAAAATTTCCAAGACGCCGGGTTTGGCCAAGGATGACTACGTAACAGTACGCTCCTGTTCACCCACTTTCTGGCCCCAGTGGAAGATCCTTCCCGCGTGGAGACCAGTCCGCTCGAGCATAAGAGAAACGTTCTAGGCTTGTGGTCTATGCAGCTGTGTCCGCAATAGAACAGAATATCGTAACATATCCCGCTTTTTGTTGTCGGAGCTCGTTTCCTTTCTTTGCAAGTCATGTAAGAACTAGAGAGCCGTCCCCGTTCCCGATGCTGACGGGAAAAGCCATAAGATAGAGAGAGGAGTGTGTGTGTGTGTGTGTGTGTGGAACGGCAACGGCCCGCAGCCGGTGAGCAAATGGGTACTTTGATAATGCACTTTTGAAACGGACCAATTGTACTTGGTTGCCCCATCAGCTCCTTCATGCATCCGGGTCATATGTTGGTCTAGACGAGCGTCACATTCAACACTGATGATGATGACGCTGACACTCTAGAGATACATATGCCAGATCCTCCATGAGATATCGCGATGCACAAGTAAATAGCGTCATCCAAAAAAGTTTATCATTGAGCCCAACATGCACGGCATCGGGCAAAGAAGCAGCGAATAGGAGCATTCTTCGTCTGGCGGGCTTTGCTGCAAGCCACAATTAAATAGCCAGCCTACTTTGACCATCTG